TAATTTTAATTTAATTTTAATTTAATTTTATTATTTTATTTTTATTGTATTTTATTTTGTTTTAATTGTATTTTTCTTTTTATTTTTCTTTTATTTTTTCTTTTCTTTTCTTTTTTCTTTTATTTTTTAAGTAAGGCCAGTAAAAGCCGGGAAAGCCGACACAATTCCGGCCTCTCTGGTGCTTTGGGGAAGGTTTCTTCCCTTCTGCAGCCCAGACCGACAAACTCTGCCCTGACCTTTGACCTTTGAGCTGCTGGCTGAGGCCCATAGAGTTTGAGGCGCAGCCAGTTTCTCTGGTGCAGCTCCTCTGGGCTCTGCAGACCTCAGAGTCCACCGGCTGGATCTTAACGGAGGTTTTCCATGTGTGGATAAGCTTTTCCAGACTGACATACAGCAGCAGCTGCTTCCTGTTGTCTGTCTGTGAAGCAGCAGGGACGTCCCGATCCCAGCTTTTTTCTCCTCCGATCCAATCCCGATCCCGGCCTATCAGAGCAAGTGTTAGAGTTTAGAGTTATTTATCTACTTAGTTGTCAGACTCATGTTGAACAGGGATTTACTCTGATACCAACCTAATGGTTAGGACACAGAGCTGTGGGTTAGCAGATGCTAATGCTAATGCTAATGCTCGTGTGGGATCGAACTTAAAAAAAAAAAAGGATTTTTCCTGCCGGCCGATACGCTTTTTTTTTTTCAAATATCTGCGATCAAATATCAAATATCCAATCCAGATGTGGAGTCTTCACAACTTCCAAAGCTTTGGTTTGATATGTAAATGTGTGAGGAACAGCTGTGAAACGTCCCTGTTTGGGTGCCAGTTTAGGTTTTCAGGGTGTAGTTAAGTGCAACGGTTGACTGATTTGGGTTAAAAATTCCCTGGAAAGGCTTTTAAGGGGAAAGCAGCAAATTAGCCGCTGTTAGCTTGTTAGCTTAACTCGACACCTCTCTTCACACGTCGGTTTTATATTCCTGTTTCTGGAGTCAGGCAATTTAAAAACAGGAAAATTTACCTAATTTCTGTGGAAGCTGGTCCTATTTGGCAGCTCATGACAAAAAAATTGCTCTATTCATTGGTCCAAAAGAGTTTTAGAGACGTGTGAAGCCAGAAAATGCTGCTATGCTAAAAGCTTCTTGCATTAAGAACGCATTTTCTTTGTGAATATTTGCAGCCGATCTGATCCAGATATCGGATCGGGACGAAATGCAGATCCAGACTCCAGATCCAGTTTTTTTTTAAAGTCCGATCCCGCATTAGCATTAGCATTAGCATCTCTAACCCACAGGTCTGAGTCCTGACCATTAATTTGTTATCAGAGTAAATCCCTGTTCAATATGAGTCTGACAACTAAGTAAGTAGATAAATAACTTTAAACTTTAACACATGCTCTGATAGGCCGGGATCGGGATCGGATCGGAAGTAAATAAAGCTGGATCGGGACATCCTTAGTCTCAAAGCACCTGGATGCTGGAGGCAGCGTTCCCTCAGCGGCTGAATGCTGAATGCGGTCGGGTTTCGGTGGCCGTTTAATGAGCAGCTCCCAAAAGGAAGTAGCGCCTTTTGTTCCCACACTGCTTCTGCTTTTAGTCAAATAAAGACAACACGGTGTGGAGGGCCTCTGGTTTTAGATCTGACGATGCGGTTTTTCTGTTCTGTGTGAAGTCCTGGACTTTAGTTTTTAACTCCAAACCGTCGAATCACCACGTTGGTTTCGGATTGCGAAGCTCGGTGGGTTTTCATGGCATCGGTGTCACTGGGAAAAAGTCTAAACTCCACAAATCTGAAGCATTTGTGCATAAATCCTCATCCGAACTCCAGATTTGTCTTGTCACGACACTAACATTTTCAACTTGATACGATACTCAGGAAAATATTCGATACTCGATACCATTTTCTATACCACAAGGATAAAAACAAAGACCCAGAAATTTTACAGACATATTTTTCTTAATAAATAAAATACAAAAAAAATACAATACAATAAACAATAAGAACAATATTTTGAGGTTGTATGCTGTGCACAATATTAAGCCAGCTTGATGAAAAATAACAAAATGATCTTAAGTCTTCCTTCCTTGGCTATGCTTTATCCATACATATGTACTTTATCCATACATTTATGGATACATACATATGTACTCTGCCACAGATGTTTATTTTCATAGCTTCTAGGGACCTGGCCTCACATTTCCGTTGTCAATCAAACGTAGATGGTGGAGTCGGCTGTGTTTGATGGTGTTTGGATGCAGGTCTACTTCTCTCTGCTTCATTCTGTGACTTCCAGAGAGAAAATAACACTTTTTAGTCACCAACATTTTCGTAAAAGTATGAAGTCTATGCTTATGTGTACTGACACTGGGTCAATGAACGTAATATGGGCATTCTATATGTATGTATGTATGTATGTATGTATGTATGTATGTATGTATGTATGTATGTATGTATGTATGTATGTATGTATTTATTTCCATTGTTTATGATCATTAACGTGACGTTAGCCTTGAATTGCTAGCTGTGGCCAATGGCAATAATCAATACTTTTGAAAATGGGTATCGTATCCGGATACAACGTTTTAGTATCTATACTTTTTTTAGTATCGATACCTTTGACAACCCTAGTCCAGTTGTGTCCGGGGAACCATAGTAACCAGGGATTTCTCCCTTTTGCAGTCCACCGTGGTGGAGGAGGAGGAGGACGGCGTGATCTACACCGTGGTGGTCAAACAGCCGCACGGGGCCCCCAACAGCCCACTGGTAGGTTCCCCCCGGGGTGGTTCCTCTGGTGGAACCACTCTGGTTCCTCTGGGGAACCGGGGTGGTTCCTCTGGTGGAACCGGGGTGGGTCCTCTGGGGGAATCTGGGTTTTTCCTCTCGGCGAACCGGGGTGGTTCCTTTTGGGGAATCAAGGTGGTTCCTTTGGGGGAACCAGAGTGGTTCCTCTGGGGGAACCAGGGTTTTTCCTCTGGGGGAACCAGAGTGGTTCCTCTGGGGGAACCAAGGTGGTTCCTTTGGGGGAACCAGGGTTTTTC